AAGAAAGCCTGCAGTAGTAAGGACGTGAGGTCTATATCAGGAATATTCCTAGGGGTGAAACAGGGAAAGAAACTGCTGAAACTTCTTCCTTGGAGAAAGAGGAGCAGGGAGCATTCAGGGTGGGTTCTGTCTGTTCAGGTGATTAGGAATAAAGAAAGGCACGGACTAGAAATGGCTCCTCAGAGATCCTTGGTGATGGGGATTCAGTGGCCCCTGGGGTTTCAAGGCAGGGCTATGTGATGCCGATTTATTGAGCACCTACTGTGTGCCAGGCCCTGTGCTGGACACAGAGGGTATAAAGAGGAGTGAGGCAGCCTGGTGAGGGAGAGATGCCAACAGGTATATCAACATAGGGTAGAAGTGCTGAGGGACAGGCTGTTATGGGGCTCAGAGGATGACCGCATGGCTCAATCTAAAAGGTGGGAAATTCTAACATTTGAGCACCTGGATCTGGGACTGGGTGATTTCTGCATGTCTTCTGCACCCACGTCTTCATCTTAGGGTGGGTGGGCCCCTTCTGTTCAGGCAGAGAAGCCTTTCCTGAGAGCCAGAAAATGCACTTCAGGCTGTGGATGAAGAGTTGACAGTGCCCCGGGCTGGAGGAGATTCCTGGCTGTGTCAGTCAAGTCACCCTTGTGCCTCCAGCTGCTCTCAGCCACCAACAGCCACTTGGAATGGGTTTGGGCTCCTGGAATGTTTGACATGAAGTACTCTCCCTGGCCCTACCTCTCCCGCCCTTCCCACCTCCCATTGCCTCTGGGTGCAGCTGCTCCAGGATTGGAGGAGAGGAGGAAAACAGCAGGAGAGAGGGTGTGGGGGAAGGGAGAGGGGAGCAGGGCCAGGAACTGCTAGGGGCACAGGCCAGCGACTGACTGTGGGGCTGCTTCCAAGCACCAGACCGGGACTGGAATTAGCAGAAAGGATTAGAAGGAACATTCCTGTCTCTTACTTGCTCCTCGACCAGCAGGTGGGTATTCTCATTCCCACTTTACAGATGAGAGGACTGAGTACTGGAAAGGCTCTAGTAAGTAAAGGAAGGGGGAGCCCCCAGGTCTAAGTGTGTTGTCTTGGGGTAAGGGGGGGGGGAGATAAAAAGCTGAGGGATGGACAGAAAAAGGAAGCATTTTCCACATGGAAATCTGAGTCTGAAAACTTGGGAAAATTGACCTTTGGCCCTATGGGTTGGTTTAAAACAGTTTTGGAGATGAACTCAGGAAATCAGGTAACTTTCCAAAGGTCCCTCCTGCTCTGGTTTCATGAGGAGTGGAGATGACATGCAAGGGCTTCACTCATCTCTGCCCTTTGATTTGGGACTGTTGGGGCAGGAAGGAGTGGCAGATGGCAGGCAGACTGGCCGATCAAGGGAGAGGATAGGGTGGGAGAGGAGAAGGAAGAGGAGAACCAGGTCAGGGTGGGGGGTGCACGGTGCTGGGTCTCTGAGTGGCTTTGGCTGGGTTGGTTGCCCAGCACACAAGGGCTGCTTCCTGACCTCATGGTGGGAGCGGATGCTGCAGCTTCTCCCTGAGTCGGTGGTCCTATCACCCCAGGTTGAGACTCCCAGTCCTTTGAGAACTCCTGTGGCGTTCTGTGGTTTAGGAGCTGAAGGGGCTGGTGAAGGGCCCAGTGGTGCTAATGCATTAGGAACTTGACCATCCTATAGCTGGCTCAGGGTTTCTCACGTACTGTCCCATTGGCCCCCTATGCAAACTTACCCAGGCTCCTGGGCTTCAGCTCAGGGCACCGTGGTTAGGCTGGAAGCAGTTAGTGAGAATTAGCCTTGCCTAATGGCCAGATGGGAGCCAGCCTGCCTGGGTGCCAGGCCTGGCTCTGTTCTTCTGGGATGGGGTGGTATGGTCCACCTTACCTCAGTTTTACTGTTGGTAGGATGGGCACATGCATTGTTTTAAAGGGTGAGGCATAGGGTTCCCAACATGTGGGTCAGGGTTCTTGTGGAAAACCTGATGGCTTATCCAATGAACAACTGAGGAAAGCTTAGTGGACTATTAAAAGGTCCAGGCAAACCAATGAAGGGTGGTGCAGCACCCTGTGTACTCCCTAGCAGGAGCAGGGAGCTGTCCCCATCCCAGGTCTGCAGGAACCCAGAGAGAGAAGGGCCACTGACCAGACTGTGGCCTTGGGTGGGTGGATGCAACCACCAGCACCTTGTCCTTCTCTCCTGCCTCCCTCTCACCTCCTGCCAGTCTCTCCCACCAGCCAAAGGCCAATGCCAGCTGGAGCTGCAGGGCAAGGGGGTCTGGTTGATGCAGCAGGTGAAAGTCGGCCTCTAGGTATGCAGATCAAGGTCGAGTGGATAAGGAGGACATTAATGGGTTGGAAAAGAGCACAGACCTTCAGGGTGTCGTCCATGTAGATTTTTACTTGAACTCCAGGGAGTGAGAAATACGAGTGTGTGCGTCTTATGTCTTATTTATTATGCACCTCTGTCTGGATGGGGCTGGAGGGAAGGGTCACCTCTGTCTGCTGATCTGTGGGACGGATACATATTGAGGGCCTACTGGGTGCCAGGTGCTGGGAATCAGATCAACCACACAGGCTCTGGACGCACAAGGAGCCACAGGCAGAGGGGTAGCAGATGGATCCCCCTGTGCCCTCTCCGGGTGGGAGAAAAGGGGTGCTGAGCGCTGTGGGACCCAGGTGAAGCCACACTGAGTACCTGGAAGGGTCCAGAAAGAGTTTCTGGGGTGGCGGGGATGGGAGAGGAAGGTGGACTCTTGCTTGGGCTCTCATTTGCCTTTCTGTGGGTGAGGCTCCTCTGATGGTCCCTTCTGCTAAACTGGGTGACCACTGCAGGGCACGAAGCCAGTTCCCCAAAACTGAAGACACACCCTGAGATCATCGGCTCCCTGATGTTCAGATGGTTCATGTGCAGTGGACAAGGGCAGGCCCTGGGCCAGACCACCTGGGTTCCTAGGCCACTCTGCCGCTTGCAAACTGTATGACCTAGTCAATGTCCTCACATTCTCCAAATCCTACTTTCCTCATGTGTTTTTTTTGCTGTTTTTACCATTATGACTAGCCCTGTGCAATTAGCTCTTCTCTGACTGACGACTGGAGTGCTGGGTAGCAGCCAGCTCTGGATGCCCCTGGGAGGCAGTGGGCCCTCTCTAGGCCACTTGGAGCCAGCATTGTGGGTCTGGAGACTGTGATACTAGTGCCCATGGCCACTGATTGGCTGTGCGTTCTGGGGCAAACCGCTTCGCCTCTCTGAGCTGAGGAGACAGGTTAGATCAGGGGTCAGCAAATTACGGCAGCTGGCCAAATCCCACTCATCCTATTTTTTTTTTTTTTTATTGCAACACAACCACATCCATTCATTTACATGTTGTCTATCCTTGAGACAGAGACCGTCTGGCCCACCAAGCCTAAGATATTTACTGTTGGCTCCTTTACAAAAAAATGTACAGGCCCAGGGTCAGAGGATCTTCACAGAATCTTCTGGCTCCACGGGACCGCGTGCACAGATGGCACACAATCTGTGTCTGTGATGTGAATTTGGCCTGGGCTTCTGTGAGGTGGACGGGTGGCCTGGGCTGCTGGGGGAGGCTTTGGAGGAGGTCTTGTTGGCTCTGCCCACATGGACTCCAGCTTTGGGTGCTGACGTGGCTGGTTCTACATCACCCTGTGCCTGGTACCCTGGCACTTGGGATAGATGGCACCATATCTGCCCTTTTTCAGATGTACTGCTCCACCCCCATCCACTGTTGCAGACTCACTGCAGGCCTCTAGGACCTCTTCTGTAAAGGGCCCTATTCTGAAGGACTGTCCTCTCCCTGTGTCTAGGGAGGCCTCTGGTCCTGGGAGTGGGAGGTCAGGCCTGGGGCCACCTCAGAAGCATGCCCAGGAAGTTGTGCTCCTATGCAGGGAGGACCCTCAACACTCCCACAATACCCTGGTGACTAGGCTCCTTTCAAATTAAGCTCTTTGGGCTAAAGGGAGGGCGGTTTCATTTTAGCTGCCTTGACCCAGGTACTCTCACCCCACATGTAGCTTTTTCTACGACCCAGTGACCATCCCAGTCCTGCTCAGCAAGGGTCTGGCCTCCCCAGGACTGCAAAGACCTGGGATCTTAAGTTTCTCAGGCTGGTTTCAGTGGATGCCCTAGTTGTGGGCAGATGGAGGGCTGGGCTCAGGCCACGTCCCTCCTGGGCAAGACAGGGATGATGTCACGTTAGGAGGTGGCAGGAACATCATCCGTCCCTGATCACGCCCTTGGGAGAAACCAAGAGTGCCCGGCTTCCTCTTCTCATTTAATATGCAGCTAGTTTCAGGGCTGGCCTCAGAGGCTGTGGGGGGAGTCGGGCAAGTGCTGGACTGGGGGTCAGGTGTCTGGGTCCTGGCCATGCCTTCGGTCATTTCACTCTCAGGCCTCAGTGTCCTCATCTGTACAGTGCCTTTTCTGGCATTTGCCCTACTGCCCTCCTCTTAGGCTGTTGTGAGCACCAAGTAGGGATGATGCACATAAATATCCTCTGCAAACCACTCAGTGCTGCAGAAGTGCCAGGGTGGGCACGGGTTTCCCTGATGTCACTCTCCAGAGGAATGCTGAGTATGTCAGGCAGATATGAGTGGGGGGCTCTTGGTATCGAAGGGCTGGTGAGTCCATGGTGGCCAGAGCTGGGCGTGATGCACCACCACAGGCCCGTTGCTAGGCGAGCAAGCCTGTTTCTTGGTTCCGGGTATGGGGAGGATCCCACATGAACCCTGGTGCTGTCCTGAGACACGGGCAAGGTTGGGCTGGAGCTCTGGGTCCACTATAGAGCCCCAGATTAAGTGGTGCCTGCGGAACCTGGGGGCTGGGTGCCAGCATCACCGAAGACAAGGAGCAGCTGAAGGGGCTGCCAGCTGTGGACAGATGCCCTAGTTCTTGGAGGGAAGGTTCTCCCATGGCCCTGTTCAGAAGCGGAGCCTGAGGTCCATTTTGGGGAAGGTTCTCTGAGCAAGGCTCTGTTTAAAGATTGCTGTGGGGGCAGGGGGTGGGCATGGGCAGGTGGGAGCCCCGGGAAAAGCGCCCTTTGCGGCCTGTGGGGGCTGTTCCTGCGCTGTCTTCTCCTGGGCTGGATTTGGGGAGGCTGTATTCCCTGGCAGGTTGGTTGGGATCCACACTACAACCCTATGGATCTGTGCTCAGAGTTTCTGTCCCCTTGCCCCTTCCAGAGCCCCGGAGCTATGTTGAGTCTGTGGCACGGACTGCGGTGGCTGGGCCCCGAGCTCAGGATCCTGAGCCCAAGAGCTTTAGTGCCCCAGCTGTCCAGGCCTATGGCCATGAGACACCCCTGAGGAACGGGACCCTGGGCGGCTCCTTTGTCTCCCCCAGCCCCCTCTCCACCAGCAGCCCCATCCTCAGCGCTGACAGGTAAGCCGGGAGGGGGGAGTGGGTGGGGGATGAGTCTTCTGGCCTGAGACAGGACGGCTGAGGCACCTTGGTGAGGCCTCTTGGATTGGCCCGGGGTGTGGATGGGCAGAAATCACATTGAGATTGCTGTGCCTTGTAAACTACTTCATCAAGGTGCATAGAGAGAGCATCCTCTGAGTGCACATTCCTGCGGGGAGCCCAGGCCCGAAGGAGCTGTAATTCCCAGGCTGCATTTAATTCCGCCTATCTAAAATATGCTAGAAGGAGTGAGGCATACCAAGGTAAATGAGGCGTCATCCTTTCCCAAGTTTAAAATCTGACAACAGTAACGACTAGGACGTAGTGAGGGCTTCCTAGGTGCCAGGCACTTTGCTAAATGCTTTATGCAGTTACGTCTTCCTTGCAACCATCCTGGGAGATAAGCACTACTATTATTCCCACTTTTCAGAAGAGGAAACTGGGGCACAGGGGTGAAGCAATTGGCTGAAGGTCCTGCAGCTAAGCAGAATAGGCCTCAGACTGAAGGCATGTGGTTCCGGTGCCCTTGTCTCCAGCTTCTCCCGCAGTCTATGTTACTGTGCTCGCCCTTCGCAGGATGAGAGTCAGATGTGCCCAAAGCCGAGAGATCAGTACAGTGCTCGGAGCTCACAGCCTCTGAGTAGGGATGCAGAGGGGATTTCTGAGGGATGGCGGTGTTTGTGGGGGGTCTGGAAAAATGAGCAAGATGTTGAAAGGGGAAGAAAAGGAGAGAAGGCATTCTTGAAGGACAGCAAAGCAAGGACAGAGAACTGGGGTGAGGGTATGTGGGGTGTGAGGGGCTGATGGCATCCAGGTGTGACTGAGGGTGTCTGGGTGGACGGTGCATCAGAGAACAGCCCAGAATCGGGCAGGGGACAGTCCCTGCTTACTGGCTCAGCAGAGGGCAGCCCCATGTTTGGGGCGCAGTGAGAAGCTGCTTTGCTGGCTTGGTGGGGATGAAGGCTTTATGATGTGGAGAGGGAAAGACGACATAGGAAAGGGAGGTGGAGTCCAGCTCAGGCAGGGGAGGATCCTAGGAATTCTGAAGCCTCGAGCCAGGGGTACACTACCTGCCCCGCATGTACCCACCTTGCTCCCTCCGCTGCCTCCTGGTGAGAGTCTGCGTTGCTCAGTGGTCTGACTCTGCTGGAGGGTATGTTCCCTGTTTTAAAGGAAAGGGGTTTTCCCTAACTCACCTGCCACCCATTGCTGACATTCAGTGAGCCTTGGTGGCAGGAAGTGGTTCTCACAAAAATTCCGGCTGCTGTATTGTTGGCCCTTTCCAGGACTTGGGAAACCGGCATTTCTCCTCCAGAATTAACCTTCCCGAACTCCATTTCAGTGACTCCCACCCCCACCCTGCTCAGCCTGGCCCATCGGCTCTACCTCCCATTCCTCAGTATCCAGTTTATTCCTCATCAGGAAGTGGCATTCCTCTTGGGCCCTTTCTGGGACGTGAGGTAGACTTTGCCCTGGCCTGTCCTCTGACCTTCTCCTTGCCTTTGGCTCTTGCTTGGCCCAAGAGCACACCCCCAGCCAAACCTCACATTACCTAGGGAAGCCGAGCTTATGTAGTCTGGGCTGGGGAGGGGCCAGCCAGGAGACTCTTTCCAGCTGGCAGTGCCAGGTGTTGGCCTTTGGCTACATAAGGACCCCCAACCTCACTCTCCCGGGGCTCCTGGTGCGCGGCCTACAGCTGCTGCTCCCGTGAGGCCCTGCCACTCAGGCTCTCCTGCCACAGATAAACAGAAGTTTGGATCTGGGAGGAATCAGGGTCATCTAATCCAGCCCCCTTGCTTCCACATGGAAACACTTTAACAAGCAGAATCCAGGTTCCCACTTCACAGGCCACTGCTCCGTATATCACTCCATATGGACTTGTACTTAACTTTACAGGGGAACCTTCGTGACTGTTATGCTAGGTATATCACAGTCTTAGAAGTGGAAGCAACAGGGCTGGCCAGTTAGCTCAGTTGGTTAGAGCATGGTGCTGATAACACCAAGGTCAAGGGTTTGAATCCCCACACTGGCCAGCCACACAAAAAAAAAATAATTGGGAGTGACCTCTCATTTTATGTAATCTAACCTCCCAATGGAGGAAATTTGCTCCACAACATTCACACCAATAGGTCTGTCATCCTCTGCATATGCCCCTAGTGATGGGAGCTTCATTACTATTTAATGCAGCTTGATCTGCCAGTGGACAGACCCAGTGGCTGGAAAGCAGACCTTATCATGAGCTGAAATCCCCTTATTTGATACTTCCCTCCATACTTGTCTTTGCTCTTTTGGAACCACCCAGGAATAAAAGTCCAATTCTAGCACTCGCAGTATTTAAGAATGATAATAGCACACTGGGGAAACTGAGTCAAGGTGGGGATACCCCTAGTAGGAACGGGAGCCAGGTGGTTTGACTCCCTCTCCAGTGTGGGTTTCCACAATGCTGGAGGCTTCCACAGGACAGTCACCTTCAGTTCCGGCAGTATTTAAGAATGATAATAGCACACTGGGGAAACTGAGTCAAGGTGGGGATACCCCTAGTAGGAACGGGAGCCAGGTGGTTTGACTTCCTCTCCAGTGTGGGTTTCCACAATGCTGGAGGCTTCCACAGGACAGTCACCTTCAGTTCCGATTGGGGAAATTTCTCGGCTTTGCTGTATGGCTAAGGAGTCAGCATGGTGCAGTGGAGAAAATGTGGGCTTCGGAATCAGGCACCGCTGACTTGAAACCCTGGTCTTTCATGAGCTGTGTAGTCCTGAGCCTACTGCTTGACCTCTCTGTGCCTTAGTTCCTTCCTCCGATGGTTCCATAAGGTAATGTATAAAAGCCCTGGCATTCCAATGTACTGTGAGTGAAGCTGTCATTGCTGTTATTAGTGGTTGGAGGGAAGGCTAAGTGCCCACTAAAAGTCCGCCCGTCATTAGTTGCCATCCACTAACATCTCACCTGCCATCTCTCTCTAGCACTTCAGTGGGGAGTTTCCCATCAGGGGAGAGCAGCGACCAGGGCCCCCGGACACCTACCCAGCCTGTGTTGGATTCTGGCTTCCGCTCCGGCAGCCTGGGGCAGCCCAGCCCTTCAGCCCAGAGAAGCTACCAGAGTTCTTCTCCTCTCCCGACTGTGAGCAGCAGCTACAGCAGCCCTGACTACTCGCTTCAGCAGTTCAGCTCCTCTCCGGAAAGCCAGGCCCGGTCTCAGTTCAGTGTGGCTGGCGTCCACACAGTACCTGGGAGTCCTCAGGCACGCCACAGGACAGTGGGCACCAACACTCCCCCTAGTCCTGGCTTTGGCCGGCGGGCCATCAACCACGGCATGGCTTCCCCCAGCAGTCCCAGTTTGAGCCACCGCCAGGTGATAGGTCCGCCAGGCACTGGTTTCCATGGTAATGCAGTCTCCAGCCCCCAGAGCAGTGCAGTGACCACTCCAGGGAGCCCCAGTTTGGGCCGACACCCAGCAGGGGCCCACCAGGTTACAGGTCTCCATGGCAATGTGGTCACCACTCCAGGGAGTCCCAGCCTGGGCCGGCACCCTGGGACCCACCAAAGTAACCTGGCCTCCAGTCTCCATGGCAATACAATAGCCAGCCCTGGAAGCCCCAGCCTGGGCCGTCACCTGGGGGCATCTGGATCTGTGGTTCCTGGTAGCCCCAGTTTGGACCGGCATGTGGCCTATGGTGGCTACTCCACCCCTGAGGACCGGAGACCCACACTGTCCCGGCAGAGCAGTGCCTCCGGCTACCAAGCCCCTTCCACGCCCTCCTTCCCTGTCTCACCGGCCTATTACCCTGGCCTGAGCAGCCCGGCCACCTCCCCCTCACCGGATTCAGCAGCCTTCCGGCAAGGCAGCCCGACACCAGCCTTGCCAGAGAAGCGGAGGATGTCTGTGGGAGACCGAGCGGGCAGCCTCCCCAACTACGCCACCATCAATGGGAAGGTGTCCTCCTCACCTGTCACCAGCGGCATGTCCAGTCCCAGTGGGGGCAGCACCGTCTCCTTCTCCCATACTCTGCCTGACTTCTCTAAGTACTCCATGCCAGGTGAGCCTCTCCGCCTTCCATTTCCACCTCTCCCACTGAATGATTAAGTGCGAGAGGTAGGATATCTGCCCTGGTCTCTGTTCTGACATTGCCTTGGCAGACAACCTTGGGTGAATCATTGCCTTCTGGGCCTCAGTTTTCTTAACATAATATAATAGCATAATAGAGTTGGAGGTGTCCTCAAAGTAAGTGTGCTATGGGGTGGTTGCTGTGATGCGGATGTGGATGATGATGATCATGAAAATAGTCATAACGAGTGGTGTTGCTGTTAAGGTTACCATCACATTGTAGCCTCTGCCACTTGTGGAGCACATGCTAGGTGCCAGGCTCTGAGCTAAGTACTATCTCATTTAATCCCCACGGACACCTGGTAAAGGAGTTGCACACAAGAGCAAACCAAGGCCTATGGAGGCTTTGTCCTTGGTTCGGTGTCATATAGTTAATAAATGGCAGAGCCAGGCTTCCAGTCCAGGCTCATACTACCCCAAAACCAGTGCTCTTAAACCATTATTGTCTTTAGTGTGTATCTGTATATTGAGATTTAGCATAACCTTGAGAAGCTGCCTTCCAAATCTGGACCACCATGCCTTTTGCCAGCCCCCAAGGTGCACACATCACTCATAGTAGATCTGGCGGCAGCTGGGCATTTTTACTGGAGTCTGGTTTCTACAGACCTGGCTTCATTGAAGCCCATGCAGGTTTGCACAATGAATTCTTTACCCATCACCAGAACTTGGCATCTTTTCCTCCTCTGTGAAAACTCATTATCTAAACACAGAGGTCAAGGCCTCAGCTGGTCTGCAGTTTCTCAGCCAGACCTCAAACCTGACAATGTGCAGAGTGGCTCTGGGCCCTGGGCATTCGTGGCAGATTTAGAATGTTTCAGGCAGTCTGGGGTGGGCTCCAGCTGCCCAGAGTCTCCCTGTGTCACCCTTCAGTCCTGCCCTGAGCCTGCCCAGCCAGGACACCTAGAGTGACCCTGCACCTCCCTGCTTCCTGCCACCCACTAGGGACATCTGGTTTCCAGCTCCTCTCCTTGAAGGATGCAAAACTTCTAGGAGTTAGGACACTTCCTGTTTCCCACCATCTTTCCTGCTTAAAATAGCCTTTGGAGTCAACACAGGAAGGCACATGGGCCTGCAGCCACCTCTGACAGCTCATTAAACAGGCCGCAGCAGCAGCAGGGGCCCGGGGCTTCAGAGCAGGCAGAGGCAGCTGCATGGCCCAGCCGCCCAGCCCAGAGGCCTTCTTCAGGGCACAGCTGCCAGGATAGCGAGCTGACCTACCCATCACCGTCCTCCAGAGACACATCCCGGGAGCCTAAGGGAGCACAAATCACAAGTCGAAACTGACTGAGCACTGGAGATACAACCTGGTCTCCTGGTCAGCTTCCTTAACCCACAGCACAGGCTCCCCTCTCTCTCTCTGAAGACAGGAGAGGAAAAATGTGGAATTGGAGTTTTCTCTTCTCCTCTTCCTCCTCGTCCTCCCCTGCCCCCTTTACTTTCTTTTCTTTGGTGTCAAAAGATGCAGGAAGAGGTTGGAGAGTGAGGCCGCACGTCCCAATACCTGGACGGGAAGATCCTGTGTAGCTCGTGCTGATGGGCCGCTAGGGCCCCTTACTGAGAAGGCCTTCCCATGCTCCGCTGTGTCACTGGGTGGGTCGCTTCCCTCTGAACCGCTCCTCATTTGGAAAACTAAGTGGGTGGACTTGGTCTTGTCTGAGCTCCCTCCAGAATCTAATGTTCTGTGGATGATTCCATGGTCTGCAAAAGGTCTGGGCAGGGGCATCATCTGCCAGAGAAGTGGGGCACGTGACACACAGTCGATGGCCTCTACATTCTAGGCCTGCCCTCCACCTACTGGTCCCAGGGTGGGGGTCACGTTCTGCCCCGTGAGAAGCAGAAGATGAGCTTTCCATAGGGGAGATGAGGAGGGGGTGGAGGGAAGAGGACAGAGGTGGATCTTTCTGCCTTCACCCTCACGGCTGTTATGCTAAAGCCAGGAAATTGGGCCTGTGGAGAAAAGGGCCAGACGGTGGTGTCTTAGCCTGTGGGAGAGAAGCTGCAGGAAGGGTTAGTCAGAATCTTGTAGGGATGGGGAGATGGGCTGGAGGCAGGGCTTCCGGTTGGCTCAGTGAGAAAGCAGGGTGTGGCCTTCAACAGGAGGACAGCTCAGCCGCCCAGGATGGTTGGCAGGAGACAGGGAGTGGTAAGAAGGCCACCCAAGGTCCCTTCCTGCTGTGCTCTGATGCCATTCGAGGAGACTAGCTTTCTGCATTAGTCTCCTGGGGCTACTGTAAGAAAATACTGGCACACCTGGTGGCTTAAAACAACAGAAATGTGTTCTGGAGGCTAGAAGTCCAAACTCAAGGTGTTGGCAGGGTTGGTTCCTTCTGGAGGCTCTGAGGGACTGTTCCAGGCCTCTCTCTTGGCTTCTCATGGTTGCTGGCTGTCCTTGGTATTCCTTGGCATGTAGATGTATCCACCCAGTCTCGGCCTCCACCTTCACATGACACTCGCCCCGTGTGTCTCTCTGTCTGTTCTCATCTTATAAGGACACCAGTCATATTGGATTAGGGCCCACCCTAATCCACGTGGCCTTATCTTAATTTGTTTATGCTACAAAGATTCAATTTCCAAATAAGGTCACATTCACGGGTTCCAGGGATTAAGACATCAACGTATCTTTTGGGGGGACACAATTCAACCCATAACACTTTCTCTTCTGCTCCTCCTTTAGACAACAGCCCCGAGACGCGGGCTAAAGTGAAGTTTGTCCAGGACACTTCCAAGTATTGGTACAAGCCTGAGATCTCCAGAGAGCAGGGTGAGTGCTAGGCTCTGTGGCCCCTCAGAGGACATGGCTGGTGGCTGCTCACTGTGCATTCCCTGGGCACAAACAGAAGCAGATTCATCCCTCTTTGCAGTATGTGGTGCTCACAGAGAAGGGGCTGGGATCGAAGTTAGACAGTAAGAAGTGCTCCCCATGGGACGGCAGAAGTAGTGCTTGTAGACCTCCCTGGAAGGGTTCTTAAAAGCAGCAAAGCCTCAGTTTTCCCGGGCAAAGTAAAATGAAACCTTAGCTCTCTGTCTGCATGGTATGGGAGATTTTTACATTTGATAGGAAAGAAAAGTTGGGAATGTGGGAATGGAGATGAGGAGCACCTCAGGTTCTCCAGGAAAGCCGGTGTGGGACAGGGTTGGCACCTGCGGCTGCCTGCGTGTGTAAACATGGTGTTACTGGAACACAGCCTGCACGCTGCGGGTTTACAGCATGGCTGCGGCTGCTTCCGTGCTGCAACAGCAGAGTTAAGGAGTTGCAACACACTGTGTGGGCTGCAAAGCCCAGCATGTTTGCTCTCTGGCCATGTGCAGACACAGTGGGCCGACCCTAGTACAGGAGGACGCTGAGGAGTGTTTAAATTCTAACTTTAAAGAACAACATCTCATCTAAGAAAGAATGAGACCCTATGAGACGTAAGTAAAGCCAGGGGCATCAATTTCTTGTTTCTTCCTCTCTCCCTGTCCTCTCTGGATTCAGCCATTGCACTCCTGAAGGACCAGGAGCCAGGGGCCTTCATCATCCGTGACAGTCACTCCTTCCGTGGGGCTTATGGGTTGGCAATGAAGGTGTCTTCTCCCCCTCCAACCATCATGCAGCAGAATAAAAAAGGTAACATTGCCTCCTGAATGGGGCTCAGGACTAGGTGATTGTCAGTCTCTTTCAGCTGTGAGGTGCTGGAAGGACCCAGTGCTGAGCAGGCTCTGACTCTCATCCAACAATCCAGAAAGCGAGTCTTGGGCTTGGTGCTGGTTGGGGACAAAGAACAGGGAAGGGGGATAATTGGGATTCTGCGGCTGTGTATCCTTGAGGGGTGGGAGAGGAGTGCGTGGTGGTCTCACCATTCCGTAGGGTTCTAGCCATGTTATCTCTTTGACCCTTTCTTCCATCCTAGCGCTTCACAATGAGAAGTTATGAAGCAGTCTTGGGAGGTGGTGGGAGGAAGCCAGGGGAGGTGACCAGTCCTTATGTTTCTCTTCCTCTAGGAGACATGACCCATGAGCTGGTGAGGCATTTCCTAATAGAGACTGGCCCCCGAGGAGTCAAGCTCAAGGGATGCCCCAATGAGCCGAACTTCGGTGAGCTGTCCCTCTGCCTCTGACTCCACAGCTGGCTGCGGAGACTCGGCCCTGCCCCGGGCTCCTCCAGGGTCTGGCCCCAAGTTGTTTCTGCCACAGGCTCTGCCAGTCCCCCTTGTCACAGACTCAGCAGAGGAAATGAACAGTGGCTTCCCTTCCTCTGTCCTGTGGCTTCTTAACTCTGCCAAATTCCTCTCAGTATTGTCCTACACAACTGAGACTTACTGTCATTGTAATTGGAATAACTATAACAACAGCTGCCCTTTATTGACCACCTACTATGTGAAGGTCACTGTCTAGGTACCTTATATTATTTCTTGTCTCACAACAATCCTGTATGGTAGGTGTCACTGTCGCTGTTTTACACATGAGGAAGCTGAAGTTCGTTGAAGTTAGACTTACCCAAGAACACATAGATAATAAGTTAACTGAGTGGGGATTTGATCCCACAGTTCTCTGATACTTCTGCACTGCTTGAGAGGGGCCACAACAACTAAAGGAACTTAGGAGAGATATTGGGAAGAACTTTCTGTGAAGGAAAGTTGTTAGGTAGCCTTATGACTTAGAATGAGCCTTTGGAATCTTCTTACTCAGTTTTTGCTAAAAGAGAGGGTGCGAATTTTCAGCTTTGTTGGTGGGATGAGGGAATGAAAATAAAGAAGCTGAAGACTGTGTGTAGTGGGATGGGGTGGGGATTCCCTCATGCACCTGGCCCACTCCCAGCTTCCAGTGATGCTTCCCTGTGCTCTCTCCCTCCCTGCAGGATCTCTGTCTGCCCTGGTCTACCAGCACTCCATCATCCCGCTGGCTCTGCCTTGCAAGTTGGTTATTCCAAACCGAGGTAGGAGCATGAGACTTCTTGCTCACCAGGTACACCTTTGAGCTGGCCTTTTTTGTGTCTCAGCCCTGCCAGCTGCTCCAGAACACAGGCCAGGGTTGGAGGACACAGTTCATTTTGCCAGTCTGGGGAAACTCAAAACCACTCTCCTGCTTTTTCTTATTAAAAAAGAAGGAAAAGTTTATTAAAAAGCTTAACTCCAAGAGTATACATAAATTGGCTTGCCAGATTGTTCTGGAATATCCTCTGGAGGCTTCAAGAAATTCATATTGGATCATCAGAATAAGCCTCATCCCAGGGGAGGCATGAGAAGTAAGTGGCAGTTGTGACACGACTGTGGCCTGGAGGATGAGATGGCAAGAATAGAGAAAGGAGCATGGATGTAGGTTGCAGGGCATTCAGGTGATGAAGGCTGTTTGAGTGGAGAGGAATGAGCCTGCTCCAGAGATCTTTGAGAGGAAGAGGTGGTGGGGCATTCCTGGGCCAAAGGTGTCTCTGGTGTTTCTAGTNAGAGGAAAAATGTGGAATTGGAGTTTTCTCTTCTCCTCTTCCTCCTCGTCCTCCCCTGCCCCCTTTACTTTCTTTTCTTTGGTGTCAAAAGATGCAGGAAGAGGTTGGAGAGTGAGGCCGCACGTCCCAATACCTGGACGGGAAGATCCTGTGTAGCTCGTGCTGATGGGCCGCTAGGGCCCCTTACTGAGAAGGCCTTCCCATGCTCCGCTGTGTCACTGGGTGGGTCGCTTCCCTCTGAACCGCTCCTCATTTGGAAAACTAAGTGGGTGGACTTGGTCTTGTCTGAGCTCCCTCCAGAATCTAATGTTCTGTGGATGATTCCATGGTCTGCAAAAGGTCTGGGCAGGGGCATCATCTGCCAGAGAAGTGGGGCACGTGACACACAGTCGATGGCCTCTACATTCTAGGCCTGCCCTCCACCTACTGGTCCCAGGGTGGGGGTCACGTTCTGCCCTGTGAGAAGCAGAAGATGGGCTTTCCATAGGGGAGATGAGGAGGGGGTGGAGGGAAGAGGACAGAGGTGGATCTTTCTGCCTTCACCCTCACGGCTGTTACGCCTCTACATTCTAGGCCTGCCCTCCACCTACTGGTCCCAGGGTGGGGGTCACGTTCTGCCCCGTGAGAAGCAGAAGATGAGCTTTCCATAGGGGAGATGAGGAGGGGGTGGAGGGAAGAGGACAGAGGTGGATCTTTCTGCCTTCACCCTCACGGCTGTTATGCTAAAGCCAGGAAATTGGGCCTGTGGAGAAAAGGGCCAGACGGTGGTGTCTTAGCCTGTGGGAGAGAAGCTGCAGGAAGGGTTAGTCAGAATCTTGTAGGGATGGGGAGATGGGCTGGAGGCAGGGCTTCCGGTTGGCTCAGTGAGAAAGCAGGGTGTGGCCTTCAACAGGAGGACAGCTCAGCCGCCCAGGATGGTTGGCAGGAGACAGGGAGTGGTAAGAAGGCCACCCAAGGTCCCTTCCTGCTGTGCTCTGATGCCATTCGAGGAGACTAGCTTTCTGCATTAGTCTCCTGGGGCTACTGTAAGAAAATACTGGCACACCTGGTGGCTTAAAACAACAGAAATGTGTTCTGGAGGCTAGAAGTCCAAACTCAAGGTGTTGGCAGGGTTGGTTCCTTCTGGAGGCTCTGAGGGACTGTTCCAGGCCTCTCTCTTGGCTTCTCATGGTTGCTGGCTGTCCTTGGTATTCCTTGGCATGTAGATGTATCCACCCAGTCTCGGCCTCCACCTTCACATGACACTCGCCCCGTGTGTCTCTCTGTCTGTTCTCATCTTATAAGGACACCAGTCATATTGGATTAGGGCCCACCCTAATCCACGTGGCCTTATCTTAATTTGTTTATGCTACAAAGATTCAATTTCCAAATAAGGTCACATTCACGGGTTCCAGGGATTAAGACATCAACGTATCTTTTGGGGGGACACAATTCAACCCATAACACTTTCTCTTCTGCTCCTCCTTTAGACAACAGCCCCGAGACGCGGGCTAAAGTGAAGTTTGTCCAGGACACTTCCAAGTATTGGTACAAGCCTGAGATCTCCAGAGAGCAGGGTGAGTGCTAGGCTCTGTGGCCCCTCAGAGGACATGGCTGGTGGCTGCTCACTGTGCATTCCCTGGGCACAAACAGAAGCAGATTCATCCCTCTTTGCAGTATGTGGTGCTCACAGAGAAGGGGCTGGGATCGAAGTTAGACAGTAAGAAGTGCTCCCCATGGGACGGCAGAAGTAGTGCTTGTAGACCTCCCTGGAAGGGTTCTTAAAAGCAGCAAAGCCTCAGTTTTCCCGGGCAAAGTAAAATGAAACCTTAGCTCTCTGTCTGCATGGTATGGGAGATTTTTACATTTGATAGGAAAGAAAAGTTGGGAATGTGGGAATGGAGATGAGGAGCACCTCAGGTTCTCCAGGAAAGCCGGTGTGGGACAGGGTTGGCACCTGCGGCTGCCTGCGTGTGTAAACATGGTGTTACTGGAACACAGCCTGCACGCTGCGGGTTTACAGCATGGCTGCGGCTGCTTCCGTGCTGCAACAGCAGAGTTAAGGAGTTGCAACACACTGTGTGGGCTGCAAAGCCCAGCATGTTTGCTCTCTGGCCATGTGCAGACACAGTGGGCCGACCCTAGTACAGGAGGACGCTGAGGAGTGTTTAAATTCTAACTTTAAAGAACAACATCTCATCTAAGAAAGAATGAGACCCTATGAGACGTAAGTAAAGCCAGGGGCATCAATTTCTTGTTTCTTCCTCTCTCCCTGTCCTCTCTGGATTCAGCCATTGCACTCCTGAAGGACCAGGAGCCAGGGGCCTTCATCATCCGTGACAGTCACTCCTTCCGTGGGGCTTATGGGTTGGCAATGAAGGTGTCTTCTCCCCCTCCAACCATCATGCAGCAGAATAAAAAAGGTAACATTGCCTCCTGAATGGGGCTCAGGACTAGGTGATTGTCAGTCTCTTTCAGCTGTGAGGTGCTGGAAGGACCCAGTGCTGAGCAGGCTCTGACTCTCATCCAACAATCCAGAAAGCGAGTCTTGGGCTTGGTGCTGGTTGGGGACAAAGAACAGGGAAGGGGGATAATTGGGATTCTGCGGCTGTGTATCCTTGAGGGGTGGGAGAGGAGTGCGTGGTGGTCTCACCATTCCGTAGGGTTCTAGCCATGTTATCTCTTTGACCCTTTCTTCCATCCTAGCGCTTCACAATGAGAAGTTATGAAGCAGTCTTGGGAGGTGGTGGGAGGAAGCCAGGGGAGGTGACCAGTCCTTATGTTTCTCTTCCTCTAGGAGACATGACCCATGAGCTGGTGAGGCATTTCCTAATAGAGACTGGCCCCCGAGGAGTCAAGCTCAAGGGATGCCCCAATGAGCCGAACTTCGGTGAGCTGTCCCTCTGCCTCTGACTCCACAGCTGGCTGCGGAGACTCGGCCCTGCCCCGGGCTCCTCCAGGGTCTGGCCCCAAGTTGTTTCTGCCACAGGCTCTGCCAGTCCCCCTTGTCACAGACTCAGCAGAGGAAATGAACAGTGGCTTCCCTTCCTCTGTCCTGTGGCTTCTTAACTCTGCCAAATTCCTCTCAGTATTGTCCTACACAACTGAGACTTACTGTCATTGTAATTGGAATAACTATAACAACAGCTGCCCTTTATTGACCACCTACTATGTGAAGGTCACTGTCTAGGTACCTTATATTATTTCTTGTCTCACAACAATCCTGTATGGTAGGTGTCACTGTCGCTGTTTTACACATGGGGAAGCTGAAGTTCGTTGAAGTTAGACTTACCCAAGAACACATAGATAATAAGTTAACTGAGTGGGGATTTGATCCCACAGTTCTCTGATACTTCTGCACTGCTTGAGAGGGGCCACAACAACTAAAGGAACTTAGGAGAGATATTGGGAAGAACTTTCTGTGAAGGAAAGTTGTTAGGTAGCCTTATGACTTAGAATGAGCCTTTGGAATCTTCTTACTCAGTTTTTGCTAAAAGAGAGGGTGCGAATTTTCAGCTTTGTTGGTGGGATGAGGGAATGAAAATAAAGAAGCTGAAGACTGTGTGTAGTGGGATGGGGTGGGGATTCCCTCATGCACCTGGCCCACTCCCAGCTTCCAGTGATGCTTCCCTGTGCTCTCTCCCTCCCTGCAGGATCTCTGTCTGCCCTGGTCTACCAGCACTCCATCATCCCGCTGGCTCTGCCTTGCAAGTTGGTTATTCCAAACCGAGGTAGGAGCATGAGACTTCTTGCTCACCAGGTACACCTTTGAGCTGGCCTTTTTTGTGTCTCAGCCCTGCCAGCTGCTCCAGAACACAGGCCAGGGTTGGAGGACACAGTTCATTTTGCCAGTCTGGGGAAACTCAAAACCACTCTCCTGCTTTTTCTTATTAAAAAAGAAGGAAAAGTTTATTAAAAAGCTTAACTCCAAGAGTATACATAAATTGGCTTGCCAGATTGTTCTGGAATATCCTCTGGAGGCTTCAAGAAATTCATATTGGATCATCAGAATAAGCCTCATCCCAGGGGAGGCATGAGAAGTAAGTGGCAGTTGTGACACGACTGTGGCCTGGAGGATGAGATGGCAAGAATAGAGAAAGGAGCATGGATGTAGGTTGCAGGGCATTCAGGTGATGAAGGCTGTTTGAGTGGAGAGGAATGAGCCTGCTCCAGAGATTGGATCATCAGAATAAGCCTCATCCCAGGGGAGGCATGAGAAGTAAGTGGCAGTTGTGACATGACTATGGCCTGGAGGATGAGATGGCAAGAAGAGAGAAAGGAGCATGGATGTAGGTTGCAGGGCATTCAGGTGATGAAGGCTGAGTGGAGAGGAATGAGCCTGCTCCAGAGATCTTTGAGAGGAAGAGGTGGTGGGGCATTCCTGGGCCAAAGGTGTCTCTGGTGTTTCTAGTCTGTGTGGCTGGGAGGGTGTTCCCTGATGAAGGGGACATTGAGCTGTTGGGGAAGAGTCAGTCCTCCTTTGATTGTGGGAAGGTTGAATAGAACCTAAGGGTATTGGGACCCATGGGGTGAGAATTTGAATGAGACAGTGGGGCTGGCGAAGGAGGTTTTAGCTTCTCTCCTTGAGGTGTCTCAGCCTTGGAGGATGGCTGGTAAACACCCAACACTCCTTACACACAGGCTTCTGTCACCCAGCCCCCATGTCCAGAGCCCACCCGAGGCTGACAGTGACTGGCCCCAAATGCAAGGTCTAGGAATTGGGAACGGGGGTGCCTTCCCCCACCTTCCCTGTTCCATAATAGGGCATTCAGAAGTGCACCTAGCTGTGGCCCTGAAACTTTCTTCTATTCCCTCTTGGAGCTCCGGGGTTATGCTCATATATAAAACCTCTGATATTATTTGACAGTTTCTATTTATCCAATTCAATTTATTCAATTATTAATAGTAATTGACCAATATTACTAGCTTGAAAGTTCAAATACAATTTAAATAGCATTATGAACCACACAATTTAGACACTAATTAAATTATATTTCTATGGAATTTACCATAGTAGTTGAATAATTAAAAAACTATTTGATGTTTAAATTGTATAAACCAGTGGTTCTCAAAGTATGGTACCAAACCAGCAGCATCAGCATCTCCTGGGAACCTGTTAGAAGTGTAAATATTCTCAAGTCCTCCCTAATCAGAAACTCTGGGTTGGGCCCAGTAATCTGTGTTTTAACAAGTTTGTACACCAAAGTCTGAGAAACACTGGTATAAACAATATCCAATTTTCTTCTGATTTTTTTTTATTAGGGTATAGTTGATAAAAATTGTGCTAATATGGTGTCTAATGTGATGTTTTGGTAGTTGTATATGTTGTGAGATGGTTGAACCAAGCTAATTAACATGCCCATTGTTCAGTTCTTATTACTATGGAATTATAGCTGTGCTGCATTAATGGTTTAATAAATCAGGGTATTTATTGATCCACACAAAGACTCATGGATGCAAAACGACAGCAACGGAGGCCTGCTTTATGCCAAGCACTAGGTAAAACATTGTACTTGGACTGTCTCAAAAACCCAGCGAGTGGGTACCTTTATCATCATCTCTGTTTTATAGAGACTTAGCAAGGCCTGGGGTAAGGATTTGAGTCCAGCTCTCTTGGACTCCAGTGCTCTCATCTGGTGTGCTGGATAGAGTAATCATTGAACTCATGCTGGACATAACATAGTGCTGACTGCCAGGGCCTGTTATGAAAAGCAATGCCCCTGGCACAAAGTATTTGCAGAGCTCACCTTAGGCCCAGCCAAACTCATGCTTCTTTCCGGCTCTAGGATTTTAATTACCAACTAAATTTTTGTCTCAGACCCCACAGATGAATCGAAAGATAGCTCAGGCCCTGCCAACTCAACCGCTGACCTGCTGAAGCAAGGAGCAGGTGAGTGGTCACCTGAGTCTGGATCCCTGCCCAGGCCTTTCTTTCCGCCTTCTTGCCCTGTCCCCTCCTGCAGGTGCAGGCTGGAAATTGCTCCCAGACCCACATGTCTCTGGGCAGATCACATTTCTATGTGCAAATGCCTTGGCCCAGGGCCGGCCTGAAATTCACCTGCTACCTTCTCCCTGAAGAGTGGACCTGAGGCATTGTCCTCACCCACGCCAGCCCCTGTGACTACTCCTTGGGTCGGTTTCTTCCAGCCTGCAACGTGCTCTTTGTCAACTCTGTGGACATGGAGTCACTCACTGGGCCACAGGCCATCTCCAAAGCCACATCTGAGACATTGGCTGCTGACCCCACGCCAGCTGCCACAATTGTTCACTTCAAGGTGTCTGCCCAGGGAATCACACTGACTGACAACCAGAGAAAGTAAGACTCTCCTACCTGCCTCTGTGTGGGGCTGTCCTTCCCATTACCCGTCTGTTCACTTACCCACCCATTTACCAGTTGATTTATCCCTTGCACCCATCTATCCACCCATCCATCCACCCCCTTGCTCACCCACTCAATTGATCCATCCATCCCTGTATCCATTCATCCTCCATCTACCCTCCCACACCCATCTATCCCTTTACCCAACTGTCTCCATCCATCTATTCATCCATCCACCCACCCACCCATCCATCTTTCTATAATTTGCCTGCACTGGTTATACAGCTGTAAATACAACTGGTAAAAAGTACATGCTTTCTAGGAACAGAGCCCTTCCTCTCAGGCTTTCCTAACAGTGTCCCCAGCCCCTTTCCTTCCTCCTCCAGACCCCTCCCCCCATTTTTCATTCCTCAGTGCATTTCTTCCTCCCTTTCCCAGCTGCTAGCATCTGGGACATGTTTCTATGGCACACCTATGTGTCCGTGTGCATTGCTTAGGTCCCCAATGTGAGCAGCTCAGGCCGTCTCGCTCATAGCAAGAGGCTGTGTGGGTTCATGACAGCCACAGGCTGTGGACAGGTGGCCTCACCTGCAGGTGCAAGGTGGGCAAAAGCCAGTCACTACAGCACTCATCCTCTGTTTATCTCATGTCTGTGGCACAGGCTCTTCTTCAGACGTCACTACCCCCTCAACACCGTCACCTTCTGTGACCTGGATCCTCAGGACAGAAAGTAAGTCTCTTATAGACACCTTCTTCCCTCCCTCCCAGCCCTGCGACACTGAAGTCTGTTTGCGCACGCGTGTGTGTGCATTCTTGGTTCAGCTGGAAGATCTGCCTATGTCTGTGGGATTCTGACTAATTGTGTTGGGCATTTCGCTGAGTCTTTAACACCATGGATATGGAGACCCTCCCAGGACTCAAATGCCCACTACCACCCACTCTGCCATACCCCTGACTCTGAATCTCCTGCTTTTCCCACATTGGTGAGAGCACCTTGGGAGGCAGGCCAGTGTGTTTGCTCCACCTTGAATGTCTCCCTGCATGATCTTTGGAGGCTCCTGTATGCTGGGAATGGGAGCTCTTCTGCCCCCCAGAAGGTCTGGGCATGGGTGGGGCTGGGCTCCTGGGAAGAGGTGTGGTGACTTACTCTGAGCCATCTTTCTCTCCACAGGTGGATGAAAGCAGAGGGAGGTGCCCCTGCTAAGTAAGTGTGGCTTCTTTACCCCCAACCAGCTTGCTGGTCCTTGTGTTCTTTGGCGAGGGGAGCAGGAGCCAGGCTTAGAATCCAGGGCCAGCAGGTAGGAAAGGGCAGCAAAGACCTTTGTGCCGAGGTCACTCAGCTTTGGAGAAAAGCTTGGCCAGGAAGCCAGGTCTTTTGCCTTCTCCTGCCTCAAAGCCAAAGGCCCAGCCTCTAGCATGGCCACTTTCCGGGATCAGAACCAGCAGGGACCCAAGGAGGTGGACAGACAGCTGAGTTTTACTAGCAGTGATGGCAGTAGAGCAGGGATTGTTTAAATGATCTTTTCTGCCAAAATCCTGGTTGCTTTTATTCCTGTTCTTGCTCTTTTGGTGGGCTTTCTGTGAGTCTTGTGGCTGGGCTAGATCTTTTCATCAGAATGTGGGAGCCCGGAAAGTAGGAATTCTGGAGATGGCCCTGGGACCTTTTGGTTGATTTTTCCATCTATTTATCATATCCTGTGTGTCTCGAGAAACTCAGAGACTGACTGGGACACTGACTCTGCCCTCAGGAGGCCTGACGTTGGTGCAGCCTCTTAAATAGCACTAAGATGCTTCTGTGGTTTTCAAACTGTGTTCCGAGGAACCGTAGGAACCTCAGATGACTACTGAGCTGTTCGGAAGGGAGGGAAAACCCTGGTACTAATTGTGGTTATCATCTCATCACTGAGAGCCAGGGTTTTCTCAATATCACAAGACCAAAGCAAAGTGTAGGAACAACCCAGGGTCTGAAGCTGACAGAAGACGGTCACTACGATCTATAACTCACACTTCACTTTATCAGGCTTCTCCCAATAGTCCCATTTTCCTTGCTGATTGACTTTATAGAGGAGAACGTTATGCTTTCGAATTGATACATTTATAGCCAGAAAATACCACCTTAGCCTTTAGACTTCATGTAAGATTGTTTTAGAAAAAGAAAACTTTCACTGTTTAAAAAAAATGGAAACCTCTGCTGTGTGAGAGGTGGCGAGAATGTGGCTCACAGCTGTGGGTGTCACCGAAGCAGAGCGCATCCAATAGGGAGAGGTGGGGGAAGAAAGTATGTTTCTAAATGAGTCTTAAAAGACAGAAACAATGTGGACAGGTCGAAGTGGGTGTGGGGATAGGAGACTATTTCCGGGGAGCAGGTTCATGGCTACCAGACTGCAAGCTTCCTGAGGGCAGTGCCTTGTCTGTCGCATGGGGTTGTCAGGGCCTCCGAGTCTCAGTGCTGCCTTGTGTCTAAGCCGAGTAGCCAGGCAGGGGATAGGCTAGGGGAGAAGTAAGCTGGAAACCCCTCTATTTCTCCTTCGGGAGAAGGCTGTGAGCGGAGCTTCCTGCTGCAATGGCTTTGCTGGTTGGGGCAGGGGTGCGGCAGGGAGAGGCTGAGGCAGGGCAGAGACTGCAATGTGAGGGGCTTGGGACTCGGGACAGACTAGGGTGAGGCGGGTGAGGCAGTTGAGGTGCCTCGGGTGCGGAATTTAAGGAGCTCTCAGGATCTTGTGAGTGCCTCCTCCCTGTCCGTGGGGCTGAGGTTTCTTGCCTGGATCCACTCCCCCAGGCAGATGAAAGGACTGGGCTCTCGCTGCATGGAGAGCCTTGGTGCTGTTGCTGAAATGAATATCAGGAGAGGGCAGGGTGGTGTTTAGAGCAGGTGCAGGTTGGCTGGCTGGGTCTCCAGCCTGGCAGGAATGGGCAGCCAGGGCTGGCACACCTCCAGGCTGGGAGCTCAGAGACACTCCCTCATCTGCCCAGAAACCCCCCTCCACAGCACAGAACCTGTGCCAGCCTGGAAAGGGGAGTGTTGGGGGGCTGCCCCGTGGAACTTGGTCTCCCCACCACCTGGGCATTCCCCCAGGGACTTTGGCTCTGTCATTTGCAGCCCTGACACAAAGCTGGGAGAGCAAAGCTGTAGGAATTACGGGGCGGTGTGTGTGTGTGTGTGTGTGTGTGTGTGTGTGTGTGTGTGTGTGTGTGTGGACATGTATGTGGTGTGTGGCTTGTGGGTGGTGTGTGTGTGTGCATCTGTGTGTGTCTTCCATGGTGTGTGGTTTGTGGGGGGTGTATATGTGTATATATGTGTGTATGTGGTTTATTGTGTGTGGTGGTATTGGGTGTGTATTATGTGGTGTTTGGTTTTTGGGATGTGTGTATGTGTGTACTTGTGTGTGTATGTGGTTTGTGGGGGATGAGTGTGTGTGTGTGTGCTTTGTGGGGGTGCATGGGTATGTGTGGTGGGGGTATGAGTGTATGTGTATGTGTGTATGGGGGGTGTGCACATGCACAGACACGCACAGCAGCAAGCAGAACGCAACTCTGCTAATTTTAGCTGTTGTGGTCCAGTCCTAGGGAGAGGGGTTTCCATCGGAATCTCCAGCTGTCCTGATTTCCCCATCTCGCTCTAATTAGCAACATGCCGACTGGGAGGGGACCTGTGCTCACATTCTGTTCTCTGCCCTCATATTTTTAACTCTGTTTTGCAAAGAGAGAGTGCCAGGTCACTCTAGCCTTGGTACGGGTGGGGGTGGAGTGACAGGGGTGGGGTGGGGGTCCCCACTTTCTTCTCTGGGCTTCCAAGCCTCTTGAGCCCCGGGGAGTAATTGGGGGGAGGGGCGGTGTAACCTCTTGTCCTTTTGTCTCCCTGACCTTCTTGTGGTGTCTGATGAGGCCCAGTCCTCTGACAGGCAGACAGCCTTCTACTCATTTGCTCCTGTGCTGTGCCTGGGCTGGGACTGGGAGGGACCTTAAGCTCATCTAGGAATGTTCCCATTTTATTTCTGGTCTCCTCACCCCCCTTACTACCCAGCCCTGTCGTTCACCTCCAGCTCCCCCTGCCACCCCTAAAAGGGGAATTACTCCCTGTCCTGAAACAAGGCGAGACGGTGTCTCCAGGACTTGGCTTTGTTGTCAGTGGAGGCGAGAGAGGATTTTCCCTGATGCTCAGGAGACCGGGGAGGCGGTGAAAGGCTGGCTCGGGGGGGCTGCTCTCCAAGGCCTGGGACTTGGCTTTGTTGTCAGTGGAGGCGAGAGAGGATTTTCCCTGATGCTCAGGAGACCGGGGGAGGCGGTGAAAGGCTGGCTCGGGGGGGCTGCTCTCCAAGGCCTGGGGTTCCTCCTGCCCTCCCCTCATGCCCACCACCTTGTCTTGCCCCTGCAGGCTTTTCGGCTTTGTGGCCCGGAAGCAGGGCAGCACCACGGACAACGCCTGCCACCTCTTTGCTGAGCTTGACCCCAACCAGCCTGCTTCTGCCATTGTCAACTTCGTCTCCAAGGTCATGCTGAGTGCCGGCCAGAAGAGATGAGCCCCACCCCTCGCCCAGGGCCAGGGCGCTGGGGATGGGGCATGTGGGGAGGGGACCCACGAATCCTGACCACCCTTAAATCCAGAAGGAGTACTTTGGGCCAATTTTGGAGAAGGAGAGAAGAAAGTGCAACGTGGGGAGAGGGAAGTGAATTGCGGAGGGGAGTGGGAGAGAGAGAGAGAAAGGAATGGATGGTCGAGAAGAACTTGGATTCCCCTGGCTGGATGGAAACTGCAAAAACCCAACGCCTCCCAAACTAACCAGGTCCACCTAACTCTCCCTTTCCCCCTCCTACAGGATGATGCTCCTCAAAGGAGATGAAACAAACTTCCTTGGGGGTCCATATTTTGGGGGGAAATGGAAAAGCTCTGTCTCCCTAACCCAACTTCTTTGCAAGGAGTAATCAAGCTGAGAGAATCTTTTTCTGGCCACCTCTGGGGTAGGTTGCCAAACCAAACGGAGCCAGCGTGGGACATCAAATGGCAGGACTTTTTCTTTTGAAAGTATCTCATACCCAAGGCACCTACAGTCTCTTTGCTGTGACTCCCACGTGTGACGTGTGGGTGTATATATGTCCATACCATGTCCTCACACGTTGATTTATATCTGCCCTTATGAGCTAGAATTATAAACAGCTATACCTGTCCATATCCCCTGTGTTTGCACACACATGTGCATACTGTCCAAAGGTGGTTAGGGTTGGGGGTAACAGGGCTAGGGAGGGAACAGAAACCCTCTTCTGCAAGGTGCTCAAGATGATGGGTCCCGGAGGTTCTCTCCTGGTCCTGCACCTGCACTCTAGCAGCCCTGGGTGTCGCCAGCTCCTTCTCCTCTACAGAGACCCCTGCTCTGCCTCCTTTGGCTTGAGGAGGTGGAGATATGTGTGTCCATAGCCTTGGGATAGAAATCAGGCAGGAAGGGTGGCTATTGAGTTCTGGGCGGCCCAGCGGCAAGGACGGCCCTGGACTCTGCCTGAGCTCCCACCACTCAGCCCCATCTCGGGTTCCGTGCCCCAGAACCCACCTTATCTCAGACTGGCTTATCTGCATGATGCCTTCTTGGGGGCTGCTCTGCCCTGCCCTTCTGTCCTGCAGGGTCCCCGCACTGGGGCTCATCCTGGGGAACCTGCTTCTGAAAGCCCTGCTCAGCGAGGCCCAGATGCTGGAGTCCTCATTCTCCCCTCTGTAAGTGTTTTGCAGTCCGACTCTGCAGACCCTCTGGCTGGGCTGCCCAGGGTGACATCAGCAGAGCTCCTGGGGCTATCTGTGCACCACATAGCCTACATACAGTGCCCAAGCCTTGCTGTTCCCCCTCTGCTTTGGTTTCTCCAGCAGAGCCACGCTGCCTTTGGAGTAGAGGGCAGAAAACATGCATTTAGGCCAACAGGACTAGGGTCCATTTGGGTAGTTGGACTCTACACCAGAGTGGAAAATTCACCAAGACTCCATTCTTAAGCCTATGGAGGCCACTAGAGAGAGGCATTGTACTGATATATAAATATACATAATATATACGTAAGACATACTGACAGAATCTGTAAGCTAATAAAATATAAGAAAAGGTTAAAAAAGAGAATAGGTAAAATTACAAGAAGTATTTATTGTCCTCCCATATTGCTTTATTGCCTTCCTGGGCATAAACCAGTTCCCATCCCTTTTTATATGTATGAGTAAAACCTGAAATGTGGGGGGCCTTTATTCTTGGAGCAGCCAGGGGTCTGCTTGATCTGGGCTTGGCCCTCCCTAGACTCTGTCTGAGGCTCAGCAGGGAAGGGGGTGCACATGTCCCACCCCTGCCCCCTTATCCTCCCTTAGGCCGGGGGCCAGCAGCCAGCTCCCAGGATGTGCGGGCCTGAGCCACGGTGTGGGTATGTGTGGCAGATGTGGGCGTGTGTGCATCTTTAGTAGGTTTTCTCTTCCAGGGAGCTGTAACTGTGTGGACATTTGTTTCAGGGAGTTGGTAAAGGAGAGTGTCTGAAGAGGGTGGGGAGCAGGATGAAGGCCCTACCAGCCCCTGCTTTCCAAAGAGCACCAACCTTGTGCTTGGTGACCAAGATCTCTCCAAAGTGCTCTTCCTTCTGAGGTAGTCAAGCCAAATACCTGGGTTTTCTCCTCTCCTCATTCCCTAGTTAACTCCAATTCTCCTTCAAGATAGAAAGCGATATTTCCCTGTCCCCTTCCTTTGTAAATATCTTCATCTCCCACCAGATGGCCCGGGGAGTCCCCTCGTCACTTTTGGGATATTGTCTCCACACTTGAGGCTGGGTGGAGCGTCAGCCCCTTCGGCAGCCATGCCCAGGCTCAGGACTGTGTCTGGGGTCAGCCTTCACACTTGCTTTTCCACCCACCCACTGCCCACCAGCAGCCCACCTCCCAGGCACGGCCAGCCCCTCCACTCCAGGCCTGAGCTGTGCGTGAGCCTGCGGGAAGGACCCAGGCGATGCTGGAAAGCTGATCGCTCACTCCCAGTGTCCCTCTGGAAGGAGTTGGTTCCAAGAGTTTGGCCTTTCCAGAAGAACAATGGAGAAGGGTACCCCCATCTCCACGGGGCCCCACCTTTGGGTCTGACACCACAGCTCCCTGTGTACCCATGCACACACGTACGTACACACACACCACACAGCACTGCAGTATATTCTTGCCAAAGATTTCCTTTAAAACAAAGCACTTTTACTAATTCTCGTTAGTATTTTTACAATGTTTATCCTTGTCTTTCCTCCCCCTCCCTCAGCCTGTTGTGCTGTTTATTGTTGGATCTGTTTGTCAGCCAGGAGAGTGCTGTCTGGTCTCGAACATGGGCTGGGGTGGGGAAGGGTCTGGGAGAAGATGGTGAGGAGGAGTGGGACAGACTGGGCTGCCCTGGGGGCTCAGGCCCCAGCTCCAGCCACACTGGCTCTAGTGGCCCAGCTGGGTCTCTGCCCAGCCAGGTCTCTGCATAGCTGGCCTTGTATGGTGTCGGGAGGCAAGAGTGTAGATGAGGAATGTCTCTGATTCAAAAGGCCCAGTGCAGTCCATGTGACTTTACCCAGCAGGAGCAAGAGGGAAGGATGGGACATGAGAACAATGGAGAAGTGACCCCAGAGGGAAAACAGGGAAGAAATGAGCTGTTTAATAAACTTCCAGGGGTAACTGGAGTGTCCTCATTCTGCCATATGGTGTCCTGGCTCCCTTATCTAGCCAGGTATTTGAGGGACATAGACATCATGTCCTAGGTTTTGGGAAGGCCTTTTTGACACATCTCATGTGAATGTCTCCTCCAGCAGCTTTGAATGCTTGTGGACACCAATTGCCAGGATTCCTTCTCTCCTAGCATTGAACTCTCTGAGTATGTCAGAGATTGGCCAGAATAGGGATGGTGGAGCCCTGTGGCTGTGTGACAGTAAGAGGGCAGCCGCTGGACAAGTGTGATCTCTCTATCGGGGAGCTCTCTGGAAGGAGCAGAGCGGGGCATTCTTCTGCCTCTTTTTTACGGGCCTGACATGTCGGGCTGGCTCTCATGCAATCCTGAGGGGTGCAGAGGATTGGTCAGTGTGAACCGTGCCTATCCTCGCTCTGGACTTTGGCCCACCACTCCTGCCTCCTGGGTTTTCTCCCCTGCCTTAGTTCTTCACAGCTCCAGAACCTGGGGAGATCAAATGGGCAATGCCCCATGCAAGGGAGGCAGCCCACCCCTACCCCCACACTTGGGGTCCTTGGAGAGGCTGAGGGCAGAGTCCTGGAGCCGCCTCCTCACCCAGGTCCAGGCCCTGCGATCCTGAGACTCGCATTTCCTTGGCCAGTGGTAACATAGGACGTGTGTGTGTGCGTGTGCAAGTGTGGATGTATGTGTGTGCATGTATTTTGCTCATCTCTTTAGGGAATTGGGGGTGGGAGTTGGAGGTGGTGGGCAATGGGACGTCAAGTTCAACCTCACCCAGCAGCAAGCGGAATCAAGAGCTGAGGCCCGTAGGGCCACGGATTGGTGGAGTCTCAGTGTTGGCGATGGTGAGGATCGGGATACACAGGCAGGGCTCGGGCAGGTCTGTTCCTTCGTAACTCCTCCATCCTCAAATGTCTGATGTGTTGGAGGACCTCTGTTTATTTTCCACACCTGGGCTCTTCCCAGCAGCCGAGATTATTGTCAAGGGATGTCCGGTGTTTGATTTCTAATCAGTGTTAAACAGTTTGAAGCTCTCCTGTGCACCCGTGTTTGGTTTGCTTGTGTGTGAGAGAGCACAGCGGTGTGTGTGTGCTGTGTTTTCGCATTTTCTCTCCTCCCTTCTGACATGTCATTCAAAATAAATGTAAGAAATTCCTTACCCCACGCCCCCAGGCCCTCTGCAGGAAAACCAGAATAACCCCGCTTCCTCTCCCTACCCCCCAGCTGTGTATTTATATAGATGGAAATATACTTTATATTTTGTATCCTTGTGCCTATAACCTCTGCCACCTGTATAAACCCTGACCTATGTTACCTGTCCTGGATATGAATGTATTGTACACTGATGCTGTCCCACTCCTGTACAGCTGCTTCGTTTCTTTGCGATCCATTGTATGGCTTTATAAATGATAAAGTTAAAGAAAAATCTGTGCTGTTATCTAGCTGTGTTGTTTGGACAGGGGCGTGCCAGGTTTCCTGTGGGCAAAATGTGGCCTCTCCCAGGCACCAGGAGGGCTTCAGGGATGCCTCTGGTGGGTGACTCATCTCAGATCTTCCCAGCGACTTCCCCACCATCCAGATCTTGGTGCTGGTCACCATGAATTATTCATCTGGACTTTTTCAGCTGGAAGAGACACTTAGCTCAAACTCATTTAAGAAAAAAAGAAAAGGAATTTTTTGCCCTGAGTGACGGAGGAGTCCAAGCAAAGCTGGATCCAAGGGCTCAAGTGCTAGCATCAGGAATTTGAGCCCCTCCCTTGGTTCTGAGTTGGCTTAGTTCTCAGGCAAGATCTTTCCAAGTGGTGGTGCCACCAGATGCTCCAGGCTTTCATTCTGCCAGCTTGGCCGTCCCAGTAGAGAGAGGACTCTTTTCTCCCAGTGTTTTCAGCTAAAACCTGGGTAAATGCTCATTGATTCTGATAGGTCAAGATCTTTCCAAGTGGTGGTGCCACCAGATGCTCCAGGCTTTCATTCTGCCAGCTTGGCCATCCCAGTAGAGAGAGGACTCTTTTCTCCCAGTGTTTTCAGCTAAAACCTGGGTAAATGCTCATTGATTCTGATAGGTCCTGCTTGGCTCATATGATTAACTCAGAAAAAAATCACTCCGTCCAGTCTGTCTCAGGACAGACTCTGGAGCCTTCTGAAACCATGGGGATTGAGAACGGGGGTGTGGGTGGTCCCTGAGGAGGTGAGGTTTATCTATGGGTGCCTGACAGGTGGTACATGTAGCTCACTCGTACACCAGGCCCCGGAGGTCCTGGGTGAATTCTTTGGAATTCAGAAAGTTTGGTGTATTATCTACTGAGGCATGCCTAACATGACGCAGGGGGTTCTGGGAGATCCCAAGTACTCAAACAACATGGTTCCAGTTCCCCCTTGAGCTTACAGTGTGGCTGGGAGCGTGGCTCGGATCTGCTGATTCGAGTATGCGTATGTTAAGACCCCGCTGTGGGCAGCACAGCGATCTTACTATGGGGCAGCCTTCTTAAGCTTTTTGGTCTCAGGACTCCTTTATACTCTTAAAAATTATGGAGGATTCCAAGAAGATTTTGTATAGTTGGGTTATATCTCTTGACTTTACCGTAGTATAAATTAAAACTGAGAATATTTAAAAAATACTTCATTCACTTCCATAGCAATAAAATCATTACATGCTAATATAATTAGCATTGTGATGAAAAATAATGATATTTTCTAAAACAAAAAAGATCAGGTGAGAAGGGTGACACTATTTTGCATTTTTGGAGCCTCTTTCCTGTCCGGCTTCAGGGAAGACAGCTGGACTCTCATAT